TGTCTCTCTCTGTCAAATAAATAAATAAAATCTTTAAAATAAATAAAATATATTTTAAAAAATAAAGAGTTCATACATTGTTACTACTGTGCTAAAATATATACTAAAATATTTTGTCTGTTTTTGAATTAGATACTGTTAGATCTATATGAATAATATATGCTATTTATTGAGCATGAAGTATGTGGCATGCCTTGGGATGATACTGAGTACCAAATTCAATTTCCAAAGCAACCTAATGAAAAAAGTATTTTTATCTGCACAAATGGCTCAGAAGAAAGGACTCACTCGCAGATCTCCGTGCCCCTGACTCGGGGATCTGTGCTCTTAGCCACTCCATGATGCGAAGCGAAAGCTATGGTATTCTGTCTATCTCACACCCAGAGTGACTGAGTCTGGGATTTAGAGAAAAGCAGGGTGCATTACAGATTTCACAGCAACATTCTTTATTTCTGGTTGCGGTCTGTTCGATAAGCACTCTATTATACTTCAAAAGGCACTCCTTGCAGAAACAAGGACTCTCACACAAATGTCAGCAGAATTTAGCAAAAGACTATCAGGAGGGCTTTATTAACACACACATCATTTTGTTGATCACCAGCTACGATTTAAAAATTGCCCCCCCCGCATTTTCTTGCACACACACACACACACACACACACACAAGCTTCTAGAAACCCCTAGAGAGTCCTACTTAGAATTTTCATTAGAGAATCAGCATAACAACCTGGCATCGATGCGCCTACCTGAGGTCCTGCAGGGGAAGTGAAAGGAGAGAAGCTGTTTGCACTGTAGAGGCAGCCGTGGCCTCAAGCCCTTCTCCGGTGGGAGCTGCTTGTGAGGATGAAGCTGGGCATTGGGTGGGACAGGCCCTCCGATGCCAGACAGGGAGTTAGGGACCTACTGTCAGCTAATGAGGAGCTACAGAAGATTCCCAAGGGGGTGAGTGACACGATCTGTTTCTAGAAAGACAAGCTTTGCGGCAGCATAGAGAATTCACTGGATGGTGAGGCAGGAGACAAGGAAATCAGGACGCCATTGCAACCACCCAATGAGAGCTGTTGGCAGCCCCATGGAGAGTAGCCATGCGGATGGACAGGAAGGAAAGAAGGACGTGAGACACATTTTAGAGGCAGTTGACAGGGCAGAGGCCTGGGGAAGATGAGGGTCATGATTAAGCATTATTATACTAAAAGGGGGGTCCACCAATACCTTTTCCATGTCATCCCAGTTGGTGATGATGCCGTGCTCAATGGGGTACTTGAGAGTTAGGATCCCTCGTTTGCTCTGAGCCTCATCCCCGACGTAGCTGTCTTTCTGGCCCATTCCCACCATGACACCCTGCAAAGCAAAAGACAAGGAAGGAGAAGTGAGTTGGCTGAGGGCTCCACTTAGGGGGATACAGGAATTAGAGGGTCTCTGAAGAAGGATACAGATAGGACAGATATCCGTCTTCCCTGGAGACAGGACAGAAAGAGACAAGGGTGAGGCAGACACCCATGACTGTGAAGGCAGCGGGGAGAGAAGGTGGAAACTTTCCTGTGGGCTCGACTCTCTTCTCTCTCCTAAGATGACATCATTTTCTAAGAGAGTGGGGCCTTCCATTCACTTCTTCCTTACTTCACACACACAGGACTTGTACTTATCCTCCTCAAATACCCTCTGCTCGCATAACGTCTCCAAATCTTGGCTCTTGCTCTCCCCCCCCCCATATGTGGAGATCCTCATCCCCAGGTATCCCTTTTCTACAAAGCCTCTTCTTCCCAGGTCCCTCCACTCAGATTTAATCTCTCCCTCCTTTGCACTCCCCATGGTGAAGTCTTTTGTCTCTATGCTAGACTGTGATCTCAAGTTAGTTCACAGAGTATACATTTCTTAAAGGCAAGGGTCTTGTTTACTTGCATGTATTTTAAAAAGTTTCTTCCAGGGATGCCTGGGTGGCTCAGTCGGTTGAGCATCTGCTTTCAGCTCAGGTCATGATCCCAGGGTCCTGGGATCGAGCCCCACATCAGGCTCCGTGCTCAGCAAGGAGACTGCTTCGCCTTCTCTGCTCTCCTGCTCTTGCTTCTCTCTCTCTCTATCTCAAATAAATAAATAAAATCTTAAAAAAAAAAAGTTTCTTCCAAACCTAGCAATCTCACAGACTTAATCCATCCCGGCATGCCTGGAGTGTGTTGGGTTTGGTCCTGGATATTGCTATTTGAAAGCTCTTGCTCTGTTAGTTGATCAGAAGAGAGTCCCCACCCCCAACACACACACTCATACAACTCACACACACACACACACACACACGTGCACACACACAGAGCTCAGTCCAGTGTCCACTACGCGGCGCTTTCTCCTAGTGGCTCAAAGCCTTGGGTCCGGATGAGCACACACCTGGTGGCGAGGGCGGCCCACGATAGAGGGGAAGACGGCCCGGGGCGCATCATCTCCCGCGAAGCCAGCCTTGCACAGGCCAGAGCCGTTGTCACACACGAGTGCAGTGGTCTCCTCTTCACACATGGTGAGTGTGGCCAAGTGAACCAGGGGCTGGAGCACCTTGGGAGCAGGGGGAGAAGAGAAGTAGTCAGCCACTTGTCAAAATCATGTTGGAGACAGGATTCTTGGTTTGGGAGCCTGAGTCCTGTCTACCTCCAGCCAGGGCCCAGTTCCACGAGGATAGCAATATCCAGACCTGGACTCCCCCTCCCTGGCAGGTGGACTTCTTCCCTCTACCCTGTTGTCATGAGCTGAATTGTGTCCTCCCCACCCCATTCCCCACATGCATATGTTGACGTCTTAACCCCCAGTATGTCAGAGTGTGACTGTATTTGGCGATAGGGTCTTTAGAGAGGTACTTAAGGTAAAATGAAGTCATTAATCTAACATGACTGGTGTTCAATACGACTAATCTAATAGGATGGCTATCTTTATGGGATGAGGAAATAAGGACACAGACATGCACAGAGGGAGACCATGTGAAGACACAGCAAGAGGGCAGCCATCTGCAGGCCAAGGAGAGAGGCCTCAGAGGAATCCAACCCTGCCAGCACCTTGAACTCGGACTTCTAACCCCCAGAACTGTGAAAATACAAATGTGTGTTGTTTAAGCCACCCACTCTATGGTACTTTGTTATGGCAGCCCTTAGCAAATGAATTCACCCGTCTCTTAGGGGCCTGAAATGACTATGAAGCTTTAATCCAACGGAAAGAATCTCTAAAGACATGAAATTTAGGAAAGGAGTTGAAAAATTTGCAGTATATAGAGCAAAGGGTTATTTACAAAATAAATGAACACTTACAAATCAATAAGAAAGAAATAAACAGCCCAAAGAAAAACAAGGGGTATGAACAGCTAATTGACAGAAAAGGAAATAGAAATACCCCACAACTCTATGTAAAGATGCTCAGCCTCACTAGTTATCAGGGAAGTACAAGTGAAATAAGTCCATTTTCACCCATCATACCGTTAAGATTCAATAGGTGTTGGCAAAGGTGGGGGAAACTGGCACTCTGACTCAAGAAACACACAAACTTAAACCTTGGAACTATTCCAAATTATGGGATTCTGCACTGAAGTCAAGAGAAGAGCCAGGCAGATCTACAGGGATTAAGGTGGATAGGTTTCTAAACCATTCTACTGAGTGAACAAAACAAGTTGCAGAGTAGAATGCATAACATAAAACAATTTATGTGAGTT